ACACTTTTTTTTTTTTAACAGTTCTGGAAGCTGGGAAATCCAATATCAAGATGCTGGCCAGCATCTGGGGAGGACCTTCTTGCTGTGTCATCCCATGGTGGAAGGCCAGAGGGTAAAAGAACAAGAGATTGACCTTGAAGGCTCAAGCCCTTTTATAATCAGTATTAATCTACCCATGAGGGTGAAGGCCTCATGTCCTATACGTCTCCTAGCCCTGGTGCATTGGGAAATAAGTTTCCAACACATTCTTTTTGAGGAACATTCAAATAATAGCAATAGGTTTGATAAATTTGCTTAGAAGCAGGCAAGGAAAAGTTAACAGAAGATAGTCCCAGAAAAGCTCATGGTCCAGGCTCATCTTACCTCTCCTCCAGTTCCTTTCTGGCCATCGTTTCCTTTCTAATCTTGTAATATTTCAACTCCCTTGAGACCAGGATAGTTGAGGACTTGTGAAGTCTGGGAAAAGGTAAAGTTAAGTGTTCGTGCAGGTCCCAAAAAATCTCTGGGATGGCCATTCAGTTCAGATAATAAGGAAATTTGAGGATTCCAGCAATATGTGTTGTTAAAGGGTTGACTTCAACCCTAGAATGGAGCTTAGCTCACCCAGGATTTTAAACTGAACTGAAATCTTAGGCTTAGAGGGATCTGAATTCTTGCATTAGGTCAAAACAAACTCCTGGCAATCATTCAGACAGAAGCAAAGCACATCTCCTCAGTCTTGAAACATATACCAGGAACTATATCAGATGTTGCCTCAGTTCTGCTCTCCTCCTCTCAAAACACTGATCCTGTGGTTGCATCTCCATCTTTACAAAATTGTGTTGCCAATGTCAGGCTAAAGCCTGAGGCAATTCTACTCTGACTTTTGAGGATATAGCCACAATCTAAGGACTATTTTCTGCAAATACAATTGAACGAACATATCTTTTGAACGTACATTCCTGCCTTATTTCATTCAGGGTGCTACAATAATATACCACAGACTTGTTAACTTAGAAAGAATGGAAATCTATTTCCCACAGTTCTGGAGGCTGGGAAGTCCAAGATCAAGGCATCAGCAGATTCTGTGTCTGGTGAAGGCTCCTCTCTGCTTCCAAGGTGGCACCTTCTTGCTGTATCCTCATGTGGCAGAAGTTGAAAGGGCAAAATGCACATCAACCTCCTTTATAAGAGCACTAATCCTTTCACAAGGGAGGGTGCCTGTTGACTTAGTCATTTTTCCAAAGGCCCTAACTCTTAGTACGGTCACTTTGGGGTTTAAGCTCCAACACATGAATTTTAGAAGGACACATACATTGAAACTCGTGACCAGCAAGAAAGGAAACTTTTGACATTTTTATAAGAAAAACCAATAGGCAAATAAGTAAAGCAAATTGTTCTTAGCCTATGCATTTATTTTAAGGCAAACAGAATAGGAAAAGACTCTTATTTATGACTTCAAATAATTTTATTTTTAAATTTCTTTTGAGACAAGGTACAACCATGACTCACTGCAGTCCGGACTTCCCAGGCCCAAGTGGACTTCCTACCAAAGCCTCCTGAGTAGCTGGGACTACAGCTGAGTGCCATCATGCCTGGCTAATTTTTTTTTTTTGAGATGGAGTCTCGCTCTGTCACCCAGGCTGGAGTGCAGTGACTCTCTCTCTCTCAGCTCACCATAACCTCCGTCTCCCAGGTTCAAGCAATTCTCCTGCCTCAGCCTCCCGAGTAGCTGGGATTACAGGAACGTGTGCCACCACGCCTGGCTAGTGTTTTCTTATTTTTTTTTTTAGTAGAGACAGGGTTTCACCATGTTGGTCAGGCTGGTCTTGAACTCCTGACCTTGTGATCCACCCACCTCGGCCTCCGAAAGTGCTGGGATGACAGGAGTGAATCACCACACCTGGCCTAATTTTTTAAAAAACTTTCTATAGAAACAAGAGTTTCCCTTTGTTGCCCAGGCTGGTCTTGAACTCCTGGGCTCAAGTAGTCCTCCCACCCTGGTCTCCTAAAGTGCTCATGTCTGCAATCCCAGCACTTTGGGAGACCAAGGCAGGCAGATCATGAGGTCAGGAGTTCGAGACCAGCCTGACCAACATGGTGAACCCACCTCTGCTAAAAATACAAAAATTAGCCAGGTGTGGTGCTGTGCGCCTGTAATCCCAGCTACTCAGGAGACTGAGGCAGGAGAATTGCTTGAACCCAGGAGGCGGAGGTTGTGGTGAGCCAAAAGTAAACCATTGCACTCCACCTGGGTGACAGAATGAGACTCCAACTAAAAAATATATACCTATAAAATAATACCTATATAAACAAATATATACCTATAAAAATATACATAAAAATACATTAAATATATATACATATATATTTAATATATATACAAATATATATCTACATACACACACACACACATATATATATACATATTCATACAAGCTCATGTGGACAGATGGAAATCGCATTAGGATGTACAGCCAACTCTGTGTTCCCACATTTCTGGGAAAGAAACCACATTTGGTGCAAGAACAGTACAAAATCACTAGGGTCAGCACCTTTAAATCAACAGAATGTCTAACCTCTTTCAAGCTATCACACAAGTCAAGCTATCTGGTTAGCTAAAGACTTTGCCCTGGAGAAAAATACTAGACCAAAGACCCAAACCCACCAATGACATCATGTACTTTTCTGTAGCTGTCTAATTTTTCTTACCTGGAGAACTGTGATACAAACCACTCACTCCAGAAGACTACAGTGTTAGCTATTATAAAGTAACTTATGAGCAAAAGGAAATTATATCTCAATAAAGTGGGGAGAAAGTATAATTACAAAGCTTAAAAGCCATCTTGTAAGAAGTCATTGGTTAGCCATACTTTTTCTGAGTTAATTCAGTATTTCTTTTTGTGTGTGACGGAAAAGCATACCTACTTTTTTTGACATTTTTCTTAGACTACGGGTGACAGGAAGGAGCCCAGCCTGCGAAGGAGAGAGCACTCCACTGTCTTCCACAGTCCTGGGCCCACGTGGGCCACTGAACACATACTGCAGGACAAGGGACAGCTACAACAGCAGCTGAGAAAGGAGACTTGCCTCTATTGCTGAGTTTTCTTTTGTAGTTTTCCTTTGTTTGGCATTCTAAGATCATTTTGGCCACTGTTTTCCCACCAAAGGTTGGCACCTACTTGTTTTTTTCCACAAATTAGGATCACCAAGCTCTTCTCAAATTTACTTTGAGGGTAATCTTAAGGTAATTTCTAACTGAAATGTTTAATGCAAAATTTGCTTAAATGTTCATATGGGGATGTGTGCAAGCTGTATGCTGACCACAGGCTGATGCAGACTGAGACCCAGCTCTGGGGAGGATGTTCTTTTTTTTTTTTTAATACCAGGGATTTTAGGAGTTATGAGCTGGGAACCGTGGATGAAACCCAATATATATATATCGTAACACCACGGGCCACGGGTGGGGGCGATCCATCAGTCCCATTCGTGTTGAGTGTGAGCACATACTTGTGAAGGCATGTAAAGCAGCCCTTCATACTTTTATCTCCTTATTCTGGACAACTAATGTTTTAATTATTTGTTCTACTTCTCTATTACTGAACGATTACTCTAAACTATTAAGCCATCCCCTGGTTTTCAAACACAAATCCCTTACACCAAAAGAATATGCAGGGCAGCCATGGTGGCTCATGCCTGAAATCCCAGAACTTTGGGAGGCAGAGGATCACTTGAGCCCAGGAGTTTGAGACCACCCTGCACCACATAGCAAGCTCTTGTCTCTACAAAAAAAAATGTAAAAAATATATACAATTCAAAAGATACTGCCTCATTACTAGAACCCTGTGTAGTCATTAATAATTAGTCCAGTTCATCATAGTGTATGAACGTCTCCCAGAGTAAAGTTACTCAGGTTTGTAGGTTTCCTCTCAATCTCGTTAGGTGCCAAAAACAGGAGTGGTCTTGGCAACTATATAGCTTCACTCTTTCAGGCATCTAAAATAACTGAGCTGAGACATAATGTCACCCCTTGCACTGAGACTCTTTTGAGGTGTTAATGTAATATTGAATTTCTTCCAATTAATAACCATTTCTTTTTTTCTTTTCTTTTTTTTTTTTCAGAAGCCAGTGGACCTGGATCCATTTATTTTTTTCTTTACTCTCAGCTACTATTTCTCCTCTCCGTTGATACCCAAACTTTCTCACCCTTGGAAGGGACATTAGTATTGCCACTGTGCTGGTCTAGATTGTGGGTGGCATTGCTAATTATGCAAGTAGCTCCTCCTTAGCCCCCTGCTCTTCAGACAGCGTAAGGTAACACAGGTGCAGAACTAGTGAGCTAGTTTTGCCACCAGAGAACATAGCTGCATTCACTATGTTTTTTTTTTTTTTTTTTCTTTTGAGACAGAGTCTCACTCTGTCACCCAGGCTGAAGTGTAGTGGCATGATCTTGGTTCACTACAACCTCTGCTTCGCAGGTTCAAGCGATTCTCCTGTCTTAGCCTTCCGAGTAGCTGGGACTATAGGCGCGTGCCACCACATCTGTCTAATTTTTGTATTTTTTAGTAGAGATGGGGGTTTCACCATATTGTCCAGGATGATCTCAAACTCCTAACCTCATGATCTGTCTGCCTCTGCCTCCAAAAGTGCTGGGATTACAGGTGTGAACCACCATGCCTGGCCCACTCTTGATCTCAACTTCTTAGATGGGATGAAGGTACAACCCACCCCCATTATCTCCTTAGGAATTCAGATACAAGTTTAAAGATGTAGTTATATCTTCTTGCTTAGAAATCATCCCTGCTTCCAGCACATGCAGCTGTAGCCCTGGTCCTAGGATCATTGCATCAGGGGAGGAGAGAAAAATATTTTTTTGAGGTTATTTGAGGAAGAAAGAGAAAATTATAGTCATTATACCAGTGTACTCCTCTCTTAGCAAGAACTGCATAGTTATATCAGCATCCTCCCCAACCCCTCTTCCCTGGATCAATCAGAAAAATCTAACGGGGACACTCCTTTAGTTCCATTCATGTTGAGTGTGAGCACCTACCTGTGAAGGCGTGTAAGCCAGCCCTTCATACTTTATCTCCCCTTCTAGACAACCAGTGTTTTATACTCGTTCCACTTCTCTATTACTAAACTATGATGCTAAGGAGATAACTCTCTACTCATCATTGGACATTATGACTTGTTCATTGTTCCTTGATCTGAAGAAATGACAGTTGTCTGCAAATCCATGCATGTCTTCAGTTCTTGATTTTTTTATGGTGCTCAGAGCATTTTCATCTTCCACTAAGGAAGCAAAGCCCAGCCCAGAGTCTGTTTATTCCTGTCAAAAACCCATATGTAGCCCACAGGGCTACCAGCATCAGCCTCACTTGCCAGCTCTGGTCAGGGCCTCCCCACCAGGCCATCTGCCCCATAGTCATTGGCAGTTTTTGTCTCTCTTGCTGACAAACAGAACAGTTCTTCTTATTGGTGTTCTGTGCCTGCAAGCATGCAAAAGGAACATGTTTAGATTCAGCCCATCTCTGCACTGCTGCAATATTCCTACATCCACTCCCTTCATGGACCCAGCTGGTGACCACAAGGGCTGACACAGAGATCCCTGCTTGTCTATTCCAGTCACCTTCCCAGCCTGGGGAGTAAGTTCTTCTGATGAGTATTGACTTACTCTCTTTTAATGTACCCCTCAAATCTCTATAGGGCCATGCCCCATATGGACGGACATTCCTTCAATAGACCACGTTTCCATTGTCCTCTTGCCTGAGTGTACGGCCAGGCCATTGGTCACTGCCCATGAATCAGTAAAAACCCAAACAGAGGTTTCTACCCCTGTTCAGTTCTTCCATTACTGTAAGAAAAATAGCAAGCAATTCAGCCCACTGAACGTATCTGTTTTTACCTTGTTTAAGCAGCAGTCTTCCAAACAGGAGGATGTTGTCCATTCACTTTGGAAATGCTCTCTGTGAACAGAGCAGCTCTTTGTTGGTCAATCAAGAGCTGCTCACGGGCCACCGTCTGAGTGTCCATAGGAACCAGCAGCACCTCACAGTTTGTGTCAGTCCTGGGGGGTAAAGCGGCTTCCTGCTCATGAGTATCTCCTTCTTGCATTCCCCAGGTGGCACGACCCCTAGAAACCATTTTCATTTTATTGTGGAGCTCTTCTGGGCACTGCCACTCCCTGTAGTACATTTCTCTGATGTCAGGTCTTCAATCAAAGCCTGCACATGCTTCCCTCCACAGGGGCCAAAGGGGCTCAGTGGGGCCTGACCACGATTTAATCAGCTCTGCCTAATAATCATTCTCATGATGATTTGTGTGAAATTTTCAAACTCAGGTGTGTTTGCCTGTGGGCAAATTGTTTATGCTAGTTACCTTAGGAGTATAAACAGCAGCAAAATCTCATATGGATGGATGTCTAGAAGGTGTCCATGCAAATCCGTGCCTGTCTTCAGTTCTGGTTTCTTTATGGTGCTCTGAGCATTTTCGTCTTCCACTAAGGAAGCAAATGAAGTGATGTTGGTAGATGTAGACATGGCAGGAGAAAATGTAGCTGCCTGGGGACCACTTTTGCAGGGATTTGAGGAGTGAATCTGTGGACAAAGGCATAGGCTGATAATTGGCAAAGCGTGTCACATCCCTTAGGATTAGCATTTCCTGAAGGATATCAGCAGTCACCTACCTGATAAAGCCACTCACCAGCTGACAGCTTCTCCGGTGCTGGGGCAGTTGTGCCATGGCAGGGGCTGCCACAGAGTGAGGTCCTCACCTCCCGGAGTGATGAGGAGGTCTCACTTGCCATCTTCTCCCGGCACCTGCAGCTGGGGAGCTCACTCTTGCAGTTGAAGTTCCAACTTTTTACCCAATGATCAAGTGTTTTGATCCAGAGGCCATTTAAATACCTAAACTCCTAGATAAAAATAGGCCCAGTAATCCCCAAAAAAGGCTAATAGCCCCTTCTTCTCTCACATAACTACTAAGAAATGTATCATTTTACAAATTAAGTTTTGAATTTTGTTTTCTGCTATCCCAGTTCCTTTATTCTTCATGTTATATTTATATTCTGTGGAATGCATGTCATCAGTTGTATTTTTCTTCTCATATTCTGACACTGACAATAATCTCAGTGTTTGCAAAAGCCTATTAAATAAAGCGCTTCTGTTTTTTCATCCTCAAAGGATAAACTGCTCTACATATATTGTGGAGATGCTGCATTAGGACATGCATGTATATCTGATCCCTCCCACCTCTTAGCTTTATCTCCTAACTACTCCCTTAATCTAAAACTTTGCTGGCCCAGAGCAAATTTACTCATTTTTTCTGCAATGCCACACTTATTCTCCCATCTGTAACTATCCTTCCCTTTCTCTAAGGTGCCCCCACCTTTGACCACATGGCTCTACTCTTTCTTCAAAGTCCCTCTTCCCCTTGGGGCTTTCCTGATGGCTCTGGCTTTCTTTGACATGCAGGTCCACACTACACCTTTTTATTTTTTAATACAGATTGGGTCTCACTATGTTACCCAGCCCGGTCTTGAACTGCTGGGCTCAAGTGATCCTCCTGCCTTGGCCCCCCAAAGTGCTGGGGTTACAGGAGTGAGCCACCATGCCCAGCCCATATACCAAACTTTTTTTATTTTTTTTTTTTTGAGACAGAGTTTTATTCTTGTTGCCCAGTCTGGAGTGCAATGATGTGTTCTCAGCTCACTGCAACCTCCACCTCCCAGGTTCAAGTGATTCTCCTGCCTCAGCCTCCTGAATAGCTGGGATTACAGGCATGCACCACCATGCCTGGCTAATTTTTTGTATTTTTAGTAGAGACAGGGTTTCTCCACATTGGTCAGCCTGGTCTCGAACTCCCGACCTCAGGTGATCCGCCTGCCTCAGCCTCCCAAAGTGCTGGGATTACAGGTGTGAGCCACTGTGCCTGGCCCAAACTTTTGACACCAACTACTTGTGGTCTGGGATTATTCACCCTCTTGTATATCACGTTGAAACATGAAATTGTCAACATAAAACTCCTTTTGGCCTACAGGGACGGCAGTCATATGTGGTTCAATTTATGTGTCTTCTTACCCCAAATACAATTCTTTGCATTTCTGTTGTCTCTGATAGCTTCTTCTATTGTGTAGGTGTTTATTAAAAAGAGATAGAGCTTGACTACTCTTAAATTGGCAAAATAGTAGATAAACTTCCATTTTAATCTGAACAGGATCCTAGTTCACTAATACATTCACTTAGGATGATTTGAGATGTTTGTGAGTCTCTCTGCAAAAATATCTTACTACAGCCTAAAATTTAAATATAAAAACCTCCAGTACTAGGAGTTACAGCTGTAGGCATATGTTTATAAATATTATAGGATTTTTAATACGTTTCAAAAAAATTATTCACAGAACTTTAATCAACAAATTTTATATTCATGAGGATTATTTTGTATTTATTACATAATTAGGTATACAACCCAGTTAGAACATTAGAATACTGTGCTTTTTCTAATTACACTATACAGATTCCTCTGACCATCTCCCTTACTGTGGTCTTAATTCTATACAAATTACATTAATTACCATGAGAGAAATGAATCTAGATAAGGAAAAACCTAGTGAGAAAGTATGCATGTTTTTAAAGCTAGGAGACTTACAAGGTATCTGACAACAGGTGATTCCCAAATTAGAACATTCAAAATAGCATGTTGATTGTTGAACTGCCCTCAGTTCTCTAAGGACAGAATACAATGATAACAACGGTCAAGCAGAGAATGGGGCAGCCTGTTACTTTGAGTACATCCATATTGGTAGGCTCAGAATTACGTGAGAAAACAAATCAGCATTTCATCACCTCCTAGCTCTAGTTCTGTGTGGATAGGTCAGAGAAATCCCGATTTCTTTGTCAGTGATTCTGCTGCTTAGAGCATTCACATCTTTAGAAATTGACCCCAAGTATATTTATGATGTTTTAAAGTTAGACTTTCATTTATGTAAATTCAGAACACATAAGAGACTTCATGAAGCCATATAAACATCTATTTTAGAGAAAAAATAGAATGAGCTTCATATTAGTTGATTTGCATTTGCCACTTGTCATTTTATGAGCCATTAAAAACTAATGCTATACTGTCATGATGAAGTGCAAAAATAAAATACAAACTATCTCTATAACTTGGTTCCTATTTTTCTCTAATCTTGAGATTTCCGTAGAGTGCTGTTATATAATATCTTGATGAATACAGTCTTTCTTAATGCCAAAAAAAATGGGAAGAGGTTACATTTCCTCCACTGACGGTAGGCAGCCCACCTGAATCCCCAAGTTCTTTCACTGAGATAGCCTCCACAGACATTTTAAAATATGAGAGTTTTCTTCAGAGATCTTCTTCCTTTATGTTCCCAAAAACGCAGTCATCTTTAGCTATCTTAGTCTTGCTTTTTCTTGATAGAAAACTGGAATAGTCTTTCTGCTGTGAAGTAAACAGAGAGGTCAGAAATGTAAACAAGAGGAAATCATTTATAAAAATAACAAAGTCAAAGAGGTTAAAACAGTACTGAAAGGACAACAGAATGCTTACGTTTATACAAGCAATGGTTATTTTAAAGAGTTTTATCCTGCAGAAGCTTTATTTTGGGGCGAGTGTAAATACACTCGTTAGGGCTGAGAAGAGCGCCTCCTGCTGATTTTCTGAGTTTGATGTGTCCTGACCATCTTTCAAGGCCCTGGGATGTACCCCAGGTAACATTCAACTCTACCTGTCTTGCCTCTTTCCCCTCTTAAAGCCATGTGGTTTTCAGTTTTTAACTTTGCCCAAAATCTTTAGTGCACATTCCACACAAACACAAACTTTAAAAAAGAAGCCAGGTATGGCTCATGCCTATAATTCCAGCACTTTGGGAGGCTGAGGCAGGGGGATCACTTGATGCCAGGACTTTGAGACCAGCCTGCCCAACATAGCAAAACCCATCTCTACCAAAAATACAAAAACTAGCTGGATGTGGTGCTGCACACCTGTAATTCCAGCTACTCCAGAGGCTGAGGCAGGAGAATCGCTTGAACCTGAGAGGCAGAAGTTGCAGTGAGCCGAGATCATACCACTGCACCGCAGCCTGGGCAAAGGAGTGAAACTCTGTCTCATTAAAAAAAAAAAAAGTATTATGCTTATTTGAAAACATTTTAGAGGTTATGGTTACCACAAATCTTTAATAAGTAATTTGCCTTCAGTACTTACGAAATCTCAAACACTGGCCATGGAAAGTGGAAAGTGAAAAAAAGATGTGGAGCCCCTCAGTGGGCAGATCGGCTACAGAGTTCTTTCTACAAGGGATTTGCCTTAATAGAGGAGACTCAGTGCAAAGTGGTTAAAGGGACAAACTCATTTTATTTGTTATACGACAAATAAAGACTGTTTGGGTTCAAGTACTGGCTCTGATATCAACTGGCTGTGTGACCTTGAGCAAGTGACTTAAACTTTTTGCGCTTCGGTTCTCCATGTGGTAAGCCAAGGTTAATAATGGTGCTTTGGTTGTTTATAGGGATTAAATGAGTTATACGTAAAAAGCAATTATAGCAGTTCGTGGCCTGGGATAAGGCCAATATAAGGGTTTGCAAAATAAATTAAAACCAATATAGTTGGACACTCGGCCTCTTTCCGACCTGCTGGTCCCGCATGAGGCAGGTTGACCTGTACTAGAGTCATCTGAGAGGACAACTGAGTTGATCACAGTTGTGCTGAGTGTTATCCTTTGTTCTAGGACAGGGGCCCTCAAACTTGAACATGCACCAGATTTGTCTGCTGAGCATGTTAAAGAGATTGCTGTGGCCTTCCCCCCAGAGCTGCTGATCCAGTAGGTTTGGGGCCTGAGAATTTGAATTTCTAATAAGATCCATGTGATGCAGATGCTGTTGGTCCAGAGACCACACACTGAGAACTGCTGTTCCAGGATAATGGTTCCAATTCTGGTTGTATATTAGGACCACTTGGGGAGTTTTCAAAAATTCCATTTCCCAGCCCCTCAGACCACTTAAATCTGAATTTCTGAGGGCGGGGCCCAACCATTAGTTTTTAGAGCTCCCTAGGTGATTCCAATGCACAGCCAAAGTTGAGAACCACAGCTCCATGCTGTCAGTATGCTGCTAAAATGGGTGCATTAAAATGAAGAATTCATTACCATCTATACTTTACAGATAAAGAAATGGAAGTGCAATGCCAGGGTCCCTAATGCAGTTAGGCTTTAGATCTGTGACAATTGCCAGTAAGTGGTGGAGTTTCTATCTCCTCTCTCTGGTCCAACCAGCCAGAAATGCTGTTATTATGAAGGAGAATTCTTTGCATTTGTGCTGGTTTATTTTTCCCTGACTGCATTCATTCAAGAAAGGACTTTATATACTTACATAGTTATAAATACTGTACATTGATGCTAAGGATCATTTACAGTACATACAAATACTGTACATTGATGCTAAGGACGTGCCAGTCCCTGTGACAGGTGCTGGATAAATAAGAAATCCCATTCAAATGCTACTTAGAAGCCACTTTCCTTTCATTCACCTACACGAGGATTTGGACTTAGAAAGGAAGAGTTAGCAAGGGCACGGCTAGTTAAGGGCACAGTTCCAGGGTCAGACTGCCTGCTTCCTTCCATCAGTGACCACTGTGCAACCTTGGGCAGGTCACATAACCTCTCTGTTTCCTCAACTTACTTACAGGGCTGTGAAGGAATGTGTTAATTCACATAAAGTGCTTAGAATACTGCCTGGCAATAATGAGTGCTCGGAAATGTCATTGGTTGTGATTTTTTTTCTGTTATTATCTGCACAGCAGACCTAAATAGTCAAAAAAGTATTTTATAAACTTAAAAGTTGCTTTATACAGAGTATACTGCAGAAAACCTATGAGACCACAATAGGCTAGATATCCTAACATATACAAAGTAGAAAGAGTTGCCTCCAAAATAATGCATGGGGTGTACAGAAAAATCGCCAAATAATTTTGTGTTCTTCTTGGAAATTTTCTACGTAAAAATTCCTT